GTGCAGGTCGAGTGGGGATTACTGAAGGAGAGGGTGACACGTAGGTGTCATTCACAAGGGAGGAGCTGCTTTTGTTACTTCAACCCATTTGTTGGCAGAGAATTATGACTGTTTTGCAAAGGCTGAGCTGCATTGCTGTAGTAATGCTGCTTTGACTGCAAAGCTCCTGAGCTTGAGGGCTCCTGCAAGGTGCCGAGCCCAGCTCATCCCATTAAGAGAACCCTAAAAAAAAAAAGTGAGGGAGACCCAAGGACCAGGCCGGAGATCAGCAGAGTTATGAAGAGCCCATTGCAAGAAAGAGTCTAACCAAACCCCAGAGACACCAGGACTCCATCATGTTTCATGTCGTTCACGGTAAGAATCATAGCTTGTGTGAGGGTAGGTAGATTTTCCCTTGCTTTAAAAAAAAAAAAAAAAATCTCTGATTCTGAAGGCTTGATTACATCATAAAAATAAAATCTAGCAGTCATTACCTTGTAGAAGACTTCAAAGGTAATTCCTTCAATCCAAGAAGCATTGAACAAATGCTTTCCTTCCCATTCCCAGTCTTGTATGAGTGGTGCCTCTGTTGAATATTGGCATTTTTCTGATGGTTCTTCTAGACGCAGCACAGTATAGCACAGGTTGGTGGTGTTTTTGGATTTGTTTCACTTGCAAATTCAGGGATTGTTAGGCATCTTGGAAAGATGCTGCTAACTCTGCAGATCAATAGTTTTGAAACCCACAACGTTGATACAAGCACCCCACTCTGGAGGAGTTTGGCGGTGGCTTCTTCCAGCGGGATTTATTTCTTATTTTATTTTTATTTATTTATTTATTTTTAATGAGTGTCACCCTTGTTGCTTTCTAGCTTCAGCTGAAGCTTGTTCCTGTGCCATGCCTGAGCCCCAAAGTTCTGCAGTTTCTGCACATGGCAAATAATATCCTCTTCAGCCCTATTCCCCCTTATCCTATGGCTTATTCCCATCCGTGTTCCACTCCTATGGGTCTTAGCAACCCTTCACATCACATGGGGGAACTTCTAGCCAGCCCTAAATAGGCACCAGATGGACCATCTTACAATCTTATTACATCCAAATGCTATTTTATAGTGCAGACAATTTTACCTACTAAGTTTTATTTCAGACCCTTCTGTCACACCTGGCCTTGGTTCACACCGGGGTTATCGCAAGCTCTGAAGCAGGACGGAGACTATTGACCCGCTCTCCTGGTGCATGGGGAGCCACGTGGCAAGAACCAGCGCTTTGAGTAGGAGCCCTGGCACGAGTGCTAGGAGGAGCATCGGGAGGAGGTCACCAAGGTGGAGGTCACTGCTGTGCATGTCCCAGGCTGGTCGAGCTGGTGGCCCGCGGGCTCCTGCTGGCCTCGCTTGGGACACGGAGAAGTGCAGGGGGAAGGACATTACGCGGGAGAATATGCATGTTCACAGCTCAGAGGATTAAAGACCCGTGTTCTTATCACTGCAGAACAGAGTATTATAAATCCAGCCTTAGAATACCAAATCCCGCGTGGCGAGAACCAGGTGCCTTGAGCGCCTGGGCTTGGACTAGGAGCCCTGGCACGAGCGTCAGGAGGAGCCTGGGGAGGAGGTCACCAAGGTGGAGGTCACTGCTGTGCATGTCCCAGGCTGGTCGAGCTGGTGGCCCGCGGGCTCCTGCTGGCCTCGCTTGGGACACGGAGAAGTGCAGGGGGAAGGACATTACGCGGGAGAATATGCATGTTCACAGCTCAGAGGATTAAAGACCCGTGTTCTTATCACTGCAGAACAGAGTATTATAAATCCAGCCTTAGAATACCAAATCCCCTCGCGGCACGGCCATTGTTTGGGAATATTAAAAAGCTCTGAGACAGAAATAATCAGTTTCCGAATGACACACTGTCAAATAAAACATTTCTCATATTATCCCTTCCTTCCCCTTTCTCTCTCCAGCTCCCTCAGTTGGATAATTTAACATGAAAAATAGATTAAAATGAGGCTGGCTTGAATGCTTCCTAAGTTTGACTCTCTTTCTCCCCAGGAAGCTCTCCCTCCGTGTGTGTTGTGTTTAAATAA